GAGACCCTTTCCTCTCCGCAAAAGACAGATGCCAGTAAGAGTAGCCTTAAGACCTGGCTAGCCCGTCAGGCCTGGGGACAAAGACCTGGAACTGCAGCCCCTCCCGAATGATGAATGAATGTTGCTCATTATTTTTACTCTATGTGTGTCTACGTTACTGTCTGTATTCCCCTCCTGATTTTATGTAAGCCGCCCTGAGTCCCCTCAGGGAAAAGGGCGGCCTATAAATGTTAATAAACTACAAACTACAAACTACAAGAGTGAGGCTGAGGAATTTGTGAACCTCCAACTATAGGGAGTCCTCAACTTATAACCACGACTGAGCCCAAAATTTCTGCTGCTAAGTAAGATAGTTGTTAAATGAATTTAACACATCAGTTAAACCGGTTAAATAGGTTTATCATGAGTGAATACAGGTAATCCTTGAATTACAACACAACTGAACACCAAAATATCTGTTGCAAAGTGATAGATTTGTTAAGTGAGTTTTGCCCCATTTTACGACATTTTTTGCCACAGTTGTTAAAGTGAGTCACTGCATAGAGTACTCCTGGGGTTGGGAGGGGCATAAATGAGTGAAAAACAGGCCGGTTTTTTTGCCTTCCCAGCACTCTATACGCCTCTTAAAGACTATACATGCCCTTTTTCCCAAAAAAAAAACGGGCCCGTTTTCGCAAACAAATGGGCTGTTTTTGCTCGTTGGGGAGGGCAGCCCCTCCAGTTCCAGGAGCACTCTAAAAACCTCCTAAAGGCTATGCATTCCCTTTTTTTTTTTTTTACAAAAAACAGACCGTTTTTTTAGAGGTCTGCAGAGTGCAAAAACTTTTTTTTTAATTTGCCTCTTCAAAATCTTGGTGCGTCTTATACTCCAGTGCATCTTATACACCGAAAAATACAGTAAAAGCAGTCTTCATTTTAAAAAAATATCTGAATAAACATGTTTAAATGCAATAGTTCAGGAAAGAATTGAAAATAATGGTGATTCAGGTAGTCCTCCACCAAAACTGAGCCCAGAATTTCTGTTAGTAAGTGAGACAGCTGTTAAGTAAAT